TTCACTTTACTTATTTATCATAATTAACAAGAAAATTAGTAATTAGGAAGAGTTTTTGTGAGGAGTGATTTTACCTGGCAGACGTTGGGATGGCGGAGTTGATGCCAAAGAGAGGCCTCTTGTCTCAGCCTAGCCATTAGCTGAGCTCTCTTTCTTTCCCCTAAACCACTTCTCCTCCTCTCCACCACCACCTCCTCATTGTTGTCTTCTTCCCCCCAATATTCTAGTATTTTCACTGCATATATTATATACATATACAACCATTTAGCCCTAAGCAACAAGTAATTAAATTTGAAACAATCACAATTCAATATACACAATTCCTTAAATAGACAAAATGAAAATAAACCACAAATCAAATTATAAGCCGCCTCCACCCATGCACGGCAAAACATAACAAGACAAACAACCCCCAAGAAAAGATGTTAAAAGAGAGACCAAACAAAACTATGGTCATCGTACGGAGGCAGAGTTCGTGGAAAGACAAAGAGTTGATAGAAAAGACATTGGACGAACTTCCATACTACTCATTAGACAAACCATAGTTGTTTTGTGGTATTGAAATTTCAACTATCGAAGTTTTTATGCTATGCAAAACGACCTCGGACGACTTTAGAATGATTTTTAATACGGCACGAAATAATTTTTTTCCGTTGAATTGAAAAAAATATTTATTATATTATCTTAGCTTCAAAGAGATAAAAACAAATTAAGAAAAAAATAAATAAATAATAGCCTCTTATTCAGTCAAGAATGTATTCAACATAATCAAATATGTTGAACTCGCTTAATAAAAGCTTCACGTTGAATCCACATTCCATCTACATGTATTATATATGTATGGGTTAATACTTAATATTTTTGTCTTACTCAAATTTTACCATCTTTAATATACTGATCAATCTTTTCAATATATAAAATCGCGCGACCTGAACTTAGTTCTACATTTTACTTATTTAACCAAACTCAAACATTATATATTGTAAAAATTGAGCAAAATCATATAGGAAAAGTTAGAGTCAGACAAAAATATTAACCCAATATATATTATATGCGGTGCCAACTGCCAACCTGCAACGTCTTGGCCGTCGTAAGTTCCAAGATGAACGGCGGCGTACGTTCCCCGGCCGATGAGCTGCTTGACCACCAGTTTCCGGGGATCGATCTCCCACTCCTCTCTTCTTCTTGTCACCATGCCATTCGCCGCCGCCGCCGCCGCCGCCGCTCCTGATTTGTTCCGGTGAATATTCTGGTAGTTGCGCTGCCTGCCGTCAGATAACATAAGCGCTCTGTCGAGATGGCGGTCAAGTTGGTCCAAGCTCTTCTTCAGATCGGCCATCGCCACTTTCTTCTTCGCCCCGTTCATCATCCTGCCGTTGTTGCTGCTCGTACTAGTAGTACTGCTACAGCCGCCGCCGCTTTCTTCGTCATCGCCGTTTTGATGGCCTTGCTCTTCCATATTGTGATTTAATAATTAATCCTGCTTTGGGGAAAAAAGGAATGGTACGTGGGAAATGTTTTTTTTGAGGGAAATGTTCATATAGAGAGAAAAAGAGAGAGAGAGAGAGAGAGCTAGCATTAATCGATACTCAATTAGGATATATATGCCTGTATTAATTATAGAGAAGGTAATCAATTGGGCTCTTTAATTACTTTGATACGGTCCGGCAAGATATCTTCATTCTTCACGAGGACATGGGCTTTTTTGATTTGGTGATATATAAAAGAAATCGCCATCCGCACCACGCAAATTTGTTCAGTGTCTTCGTTTGGGTCGAGGGGCCGTGAAATACGTATTCATATTGTTAATTGCCCTTATATTAGAGGTAGTTGCGTAGGGTAAAAGACCTCGGGTACCACTTAAATTTGAGAATTGGGATAGACATATCACTTAAGTTTGAATAGGGCGTCGGGTACCACTGAACTCTATTATATGTGCACCCGGTACCACTCAAGTTTACTGTTAAGTGCATTCCGTTAAAGTTCACAGAATATTATGGAATATTCCGTTTTCTAAATTTCATAATTGGTCCTTCTACTTTTCTCATTGTTAAAAAATCATTTGGACTTATGAAAAATATCATTTTTTATTGTTTAGCTAGAATCCTCTTTTGTATACATGATACCAAAACAATTTTTGAATAGAATTTTAGAATCAATTATCATTATAATTATTTTTATTTATCATTATGTGTTCTAATAATTGAATTATTCCATGAATGTTCTAGCTTTTATAGTCATATTTTATTTTCTACATATTTTACCGAATGTTGTAGCTTTTGTATTTTGTTTATTACTTGGTTACTTTTCATATCTTTTCGTTCTAAATTTTTTCAATTAGTGAAATATGTTTAATTCTTTCTGATTGTGTTCCATTCATCTTTTTTGATTTTGATGCATTGATGATCAATTAGGTTCTATTTTAACTATTTTGTTTTGGTGAAACTATTTTAACTATTTCTAATATCACTTCTAATTGAATTAGAGGGTTTAAATAGATATTCTAATATTTATTATTATATTGTAGCATATTTATTATTCTTCTTGATATTCGTTTACTATTTTTACTAATTTATCTATTTTATTGAAATTTTTTGATAAGTCATTCTAGTATTAATATGTTTAGATGGTTTTCTAATTATTATATTAGATAAAACTTGTTGAAATATAGTTTTGAATGTTTTTAAAAGTTTTGGGTATCAAAAAGTAATTAAAAGTTTGGGTTGGATGGAAAAGTAGACGGATGCACATTTTAACAACTTTAATGGTATCCGACACCCTATTCAAACTTAAGTGGTATGTCTACCCCAATTCTCAAAGTTAAGTGACACTCGAGGTATTTTACCCTAGTTGCGTATTCATATTTCAAATTAACTGGGGTCAAAAAAATTGTATTTCTAAAATCTATGCTTTTAATAGAGTTTTTAATAGAGTTTGAGTTGATTGAGTTCTCGAGTATAGCTAAAATTAGTGAGAGTGGGTTATTAAGTTCAAAGAATCGGCTAAAACCTGTCAAGAACCAGTTGCTCCCAATAACTCGAGTTGTTGGGAGAGGTTCAATCGTGGATCATATACCACAAGACTAACACGCCGCCTCAAACGAAAGCCACTCACAAGGGCTTGAAGTTTGCACAGGTCTTAAGACAAGGATACCATGTGCTTAAGAAATGGGGGTCACCGGGAATCGAACACAAGACTTCTCGGTCACAGAAGACTCTGATACAATGTCAAGAACCAGTTGATCCCAATAACTCGAGTTATTGGGAGCAACTGGTTCTTGACATGGTATCAGAGCCTAGAACCGAAAGGTCATGTGTTCGAATCTCCACGACCCCCAATATTAAGCAACTGGTTCTTGACATGGTATCAGAGCCTAGAACCGAAAGGTCATGTGTTCGAATCTCCACGACCCCTAATATTAACCGTTGTCTTTCAAGCACATGGTATGGTGGGCCTGTGCAAACTTCAAGCCCATGGGTTGGCTTTCGTTTGAGGGGGCGTGTTAGAGAGGTATAAGATCCAACATAACCTTCTCCCAACTTCTCCCAACAACTCGAGTTATTGGGACCAATGCAGTCAAAAGCGAGATTTTACCTAGAAGCGGAAAAGGGGTAAAATCGTAAAGCGTAGAATCAAAGCGTAAAAGCGTAAATTTTTGACGCATACTGAAAAATACTACAAATCTATTAAGTAGGACATATGCTATGCAAAATATGAATCCACATAATTTAGATAAGTTAATAAATACATAAAGTATAGCAACTTATAGCATCTTAATAATAAGTTCGTAAACATAAATTTTAACAATAAGCCACTTTTCCCTCTATGCTAATGAATTTGGGAATAGCCTAGCTCGTGAATTAGATTACTCTCTTGAAGTTGAGAATGCATCCGAGTAGTATGTAACTTTTAATCTCAAATGTGTCATATTGTTGGTGATTTATTTTTAAAATATACTTTTTATAATTAATTTCATGAAAAGAATACTCATTTAGTGAACTAAAAGCGTAAAAACGTAAAGCGTTTTGGTGACCTAGAAGCATAAAACCGTAAGTTTTTAAGCTTTAAAGCGCAATTTAGTCTGATTTTAAACACTTTAAGTTTTTATATAGAAACGAAAGCGTTTTGGTGACTTAAAAGCGTAAAATCGTAAGTTTTTAAGTTTTAAAGCGCGATTTTGACTGCATTGATTGGGACCAAGTGGTTAGTTCGCTAACAAAACCTACATATCCCAATATTTTTTTTATTGGAACGAATTACTCTGAAAAGACATATTTCCTATCTTTTATTTCATCTCTGGCGAAATACAAGCAAGAGGAGCTAATTCAAATCCTTCGGTTAAAATAAAAACAGCCCCTTGTGATAATTGGAGGGAAATCCTTGGATACCAAGCCTAGGGTATGCACTACCTTGTAGATCAGCTAATGGAGGTGACCAACTCACTAACCCAAAATAATCCCCCCCCCCCCCCCATGTTCTATTGTCTCAGTTCCTTCACTGAGACTGACACAAACAAACACACTTAAAACACGAATATCCACAATGACGAGTTAAATTGTTATCCCTAATTGTTGGAGTGCAAATTAAGGTTTTTAGAATATGAAAGTAAAGTATGCATTAGAGAAGAAAAGGTTGATATAAAGTTATGGTTGCAGCTAATATACACAATTGAACAAATCTAACACCCTAAACTACAAATATTATAAGTACCTACCCAAAAAAAATAAGAATACATTTTGATCATATCATCTAACATTCCCTCCAACTGAAGCATGGATATCACAAATGTCCAACTTGCCGTTGAGCTCGTGGAACTTGTAAACAAACAAGGAATAGATCATAATATTCGCAATAAGGCCGTCAGTATTGATGTGTAGGAGTTTGATTAATCAGGAAGCACGATTTTCACAATCAAATGGCAATAAACACACCTTCACGACATTTAATAAACACACCTTCCCTTGTCTTTCTGCGTCAACAAACCGTTAGTGATGGGTCAGAAAGAAGAAAAAACGTTGAACAGGATATCAAAATTAGGTCAATAACCCAGAAGAGTTCAAGATACCTTCATACAAACAGGCTCCCAAATGAGAGACAGGGGTGGGAAAACAACTACAACCAAAAGTCATGCTTCATCTTCTACAATATGATTCCGTAAAGCAAAACACAGTAACATCCAAAATGGTGGCCGATGCACTTTCTTTACAGGCCTAATGCATCTAAGAAATTTCCTTTACTTGACATGCGGTGTTGAACCATTGGTTACTTTGTCAAACCAAGTGTATGGTCTCATTCGACTACGTACAGTTCTGAGTAGGCTACTGCTCAGAATAGCAAAATTTCCTATTTGTTGATGTTATCTAAACGTACCAATACGATCATGAATCATCTATGTAGTTCCTGAAGGAGGGGGGAGGGCGATTTTCGTCAGTACGGGAACAACCTTTTGCGGTTCCTCTTCTTCTCAGGAGTCGCAAGTATTCCTTTCACTCCATATGTAGTCATCTGGAAGTTCTCAAAGGCCTGTGAAACTGCCTCCACCTGCGTGACAAGGAAATTGGGGGCCGTTTTGCTTCGTATTAGGAGAGATCAATGGATTATTTGCAATTTCTTAGGGGGAAAAAAAAAAAACACAGAACATTTTGACATACCAGTTCAGGTTTCTTGGCGTACACTCTCACGATCTTGTCTTGGCAAACAGCAGGGATTAAGTGACTGATGTGCTCCACTGGTATCGTGAATTTGTCCGTGCTGTCGTGGTCCTGAGAAAGGTATATAGGTGAAAGGAAAAATCAACGAGATTGGAAAGCTACAATATTAAATGCGCCTGGAATGAATCCCGACTACACTCTCCAGAGGAAAGTCAGGATTGTGTTCTTGGCAATGGCATTCATAGTCAAATTGGAACCAAATTAAAGAGTACAATATATTGTTTTTGTAGCTAGCAAGGAGAAGGAATGGGTAAAAGTTGGCATTTGGAAAGGTATGTTAATAGTACCTGAAAAAACTTAACGCTGGGGGCGGATGGGTACATGCATGAGGAAAACAACAAGACTGCGTTAGAAGAAGCAGAAGCAAAAGTAATCAAGCAAAGGAGTTAACGTTAGTTACCTCTCAAGAGGGTTGGAACTTCCACGGGTTAAGTCAATCTGGACAGTGCTCACAGCAATATCTTCTTCTTTCAGTGTAACATCACTAGATTTCTGTTTTAAGCAGGCAGCATATGATGTTTTAGAAACAAAACATCACTAGCAGTATTAATAGAAAGCAAGGAGAGAACTGATGTGTCATGTCACCACCTGGGAGCATATAATATCCTGTGGAGTGACGTCATTGAAGTGGTCTAGCTTTTCCTTAGGAACAGCAAACTCATTGCAGAACTGGAACCCATAGCAGACAGAGGCAAACATTACAAAAACTAAAAATGAATAAGCAGCGACAGGCGTCTGAAGACCACAAGAGAAAACACACTCCCACTCCACACTGACATATACAAGTTGGGCTACTACCTGGTATATATCTCTTCTTCTGATGCGTAGGACCAAATCTCTGGCCTCTTTGAGTTCTGGTCTTTCGTCAACTTCGATTCTTTTCAATATTGTGTCATCCAGCTGTGCGAGCATTGTACAACAGAAGACACTGATGATTAACCACACGTGGGAAAACAAAATGACGCCATTGATAAATTCGGCTGATTGACTTTCAGATTGAGTTGATGTTCAACATGTTCAGACCTTCCAAAACTCTCCAGGGTTTTGAACAGCGTCAGCAATTCCAAGGGACTCATTTGCTTTGGATAGGGCATCAACAGCCATGAGTTCTATCCCCTGAAGATTGCAGACCTCAGTAAACTTCGAACAGCTTAATATTTTATTTTCCAGAATAATGTGAAAAGAGTTTCACCTTCACTTTAGCATGTGTATAGACTGTGCGGTGCATTTCTGCTCGAGTGGAAAACAGCTTGTAGACCGTGAGATCTATAAACAATGACCCATTGTCAACAACAGTATACAGTAAAATGGCTGCAGTAATTTAGGATCAAGTTCAAATAATACTAACAATCTTTGGCACGGTAACAAATCTCATCACCCAAAACCCTCATGGATCCCATTAACCTGAATGTCAACAAAGCACCCAGCAAACAAGGTCAGATCAAAGAATGAAATGGTCCCAACTTCTCTCAGGGTGTTCATGTGTCAACTTTAACCCTTGCATCAATTCATGAAAACATGCTCAGTTAAGAATAAACACTAAACATGCATAATGTTTGGAAGAGTACACACCTTGGGAACATAAAACCACAGCCAACTCCGCAAGCCCGTGAATCCCGAACAAGGTAGTCAAACCTAGATAAAGAGTATTGGGATTAGCATACAAGAACGTAATCATCATGAACAAGATGAAGTAAAAGAAGAAAAGATAACTCACTTGTCAACATCTACTCCATTCCGGCCGTTTGCAACAATGTCATAAAGAAACTGCTTCTCAGTGGGACTCTGCACCCATAGAGATCTCAACAATTAACAAACTTAACACATTGAAAATTTTATAAATAAAGCTCAGCATGTGAGATAACTTACATTGCGTGAACCATGCTCAGTACTTGCGACGATCATATTCTTCCAAAAGAACAAAAAAAAAAAAAAAAAGAGCAAGTGATATCACTCGGTGTTCATTATGCATCTAATAATGGGCAAAACACAGCTGGGGAGAGGGAAAACAGGGGAATAGTAATGGCATGAGACTCCAAACCTTTGCTTTCTTTAGGCATTCTGGTTCAATGTCAATGTGGTGTTTGTCCACAATGTAATCTATCATGCTGATAGACATGTCCTCATGAGACCTGAAAACAAATTTTGGCATTACTCAACTTCGGAATTGATCATAACTGAATGCTGGAGGTACTGTTCAGCCTAGGTTACTCATCAAAGCATCTAATGCAGAAACATCAAGAACCTTGGATATGAGAAAATCTCGCAACACGTTTTGAGAATCTGATGGCAGATAATTAGCTCAGGCAAAAATCAATGAACTAACCATGGGGCGCCACTAAGAAATCGGGGAAGAAATTGACGCTCAAACGTGTGGCTGAATGGTCCATGTCCGATATCATGCAGTAATCCTGGAAAGATGAGAGATGCAACATGTAAAGCTAGAAGAAAACAGCTGCATGCAGAAACATCAAAAAACCCAAAATATACTTCGCTCACCGGCAAGCTTCACGGTCTTTATATCAAAATCCTCAACGGGAAAGTCCGGATCCTTTCAAGTATGAACCATTGATTCAGAAAGGTTGGCCATCAACACAAAAACTAAAAATGAGGCATGACAGAACATGTTGGCCTCGATACCTGCTGAGCTCTAAGACGGTAGGCTACTTCCCCAGCCAGATGGTATACACCTAAGGAGTGCTCGAACCGAGAGTGCACTGCTCCAGGGTATACCGTGTTTGTTAGTCCTGCAAACAAGTAACTCTGAGTCAGTGGAAGGCAAGAGTACATCAAGGAAACCGAGTGAGCAGAAGGTGCAAAACGAATAGTTTGGGAATGGATCTGCAAGAGTGTTAACAATCACCGAGCTGCTTGAGATCCCGAAGTCTGCATCAAGGAATAGCATAGTCAGGTTGTATTCTTGATTATGGGATAGAAGTGAAAAATTATCAAGTATCCACGTCAAACTTGCCTCTGAAATTGTTCAGTATCGACGAACTTCAGGGCAAGCTGAAACACAAAAAAGAGAGACAGAATCCATCGTCAAACTCAGCACTATTACTCCTTCCTTCCACACTAGAAGCGACTGTTGCTCAAACAAGTAAAACAGAAAGACGAGAAAGGACGTTGACGTGCTATTTCCAAGAAAGAGTCAAAATGCTAAAATTAGCTATGTTCACTAGACGTTTCGGAAGCTGTAGACATCATTTCATCATTCGCGTTTCACCGGACGTTTCGAAACCTTTTGGAGGAACGGTTACTTGCAGACTACCAAGAAAAATCCTCCTACGCAACGTCGGCGTTCGTTCCATCAATTCCGTGTACGCAAATCGAATCTGCGTTAATAGAAAAAGAATTCCGGCCGGCGAGTACGAAGTCGAGTCCGCAAAATCGTCAATCATGCACAGCTCAACCACAAACACAGAGATTCCGCCGGAAATCGGACAAATCGGTTCAGAAACTCAACAATCGATTCAATAGCTCACAATGAAATCGAACGGAGAACAGAAGTAACAACAGGACAGAAACCGGGCCGAAACAGAGAGGAGGAATTCCGAAACAAACTAGTGAGGGAGAGAGGCAAGCAGCGAGAGAGTATGTACCGGGTCCAAATAGATGGTGCCATGGACGTTGTCGAGTACTTCCTTCGAGAATCTGCGATTCTGGCAGTAAGACGCATAGTTGGAGGCGCAGTAACCGCCGTTGGAGGAAGCTCCCATTGTCGTCGACCTCGGCTGCGGTATGCGGGAACGCCGCTCACACTGTAATACCTGGAAAAGAAGAAGACGATGTTAAGAACTGAAAGCGCACAGAGAAGGAAGCTACTAAAGCAGGCTGGAAGAAACGTTTACTGTTCGAATTTCTTGCGAGAGGTGATGGAAATGGCGGAGAGAGAGGGAAGATAGAGAAGCGGCAATGAAGAACGCTATAAATAAGGACTGGAGGAAGGAGTGTGCGGAGAAAATGGGGGGGAGTGGTGGTGTCGTGAATTTGGCAATGTGCCGCCAAAAATGCTGGATTTCAGTCCCACGCGCTCGGTTGCACGCCTCAAGCGCTTGGAGGACTTAATTCGTTTGAGAAAAATTGAAAAAGAACGTTCCGTCGGTGGTACTGACGGGAGTAACGGCGGGGCATACAATTATGAGCAACGAACGTCGATTCAAATGGACGGGAAATTGAACCGCCGTCTGTCTTTAACTAACACTAACAGAGTAACAGTCTCCCCGATTATTAAGGAAAAATGCTTACCTGGCGGTTCCCCCAGCCAGCTGGCTTTGGTGGGACCTTCCTTTTCAACGACTGACGGGGATGTTCGGAAGGGAGGAGAAATGTTTTGGGACGATGTTCATAATCAATTGGGTCGTTTGATTGTTGTGCGAGCGCTCTGCATTCATCTAACCGGTGCATAGCGTTCGTGCATAATTCGATGATCGATATAAGTACATTCTCGAAGATGAGAAAACATTTCAACATACTAGCCGTGTGCAGCTCGCATTTCTCATTAGGTCAGAGTAAAACGGGTCCACCTATGGATCGATTCGTGGGTTGATAAATAACCATGGTATTTAAGGAAAATTGGGGAAGGAGTCTGCAGGAGAACGTTACGAACTTACGACAGTACGTTGGAATATGTTTTCAGATAAGACAGGATAATGGAATTTAGACATGCTAATAGAGAATAAACAGAGAACCTGCTTTCGTGGTGCTCAAGGGACATAAACTCCTTGCGTCGATAAGTATCGAAACCCTTCTTCTACAAGTACAAATTCTGGATTCAAATTTGCATATTCAATTTGATTTCCAGAGTCTTGTTTACCCTATTAACGATCATCCGAACAGCATTCACTAATGCAATGTTAGAATTCATAAAACAATAATAATATCATTAACTAACATGATTGACACAAGGGGGAAACGCAGTGCTTAACCATTGGCTACAGCCATCTGGAACTTTTCAGGGACTCGGAGGACAGGAGCCTGGAACGTCCCGGGCTTCCCCAGCTGGCCGCAAGCAGCCATCTGGTCGTCACCTCTGCTCTGTCGCAAGAACACTGAGCATTTGCCCTGTGCTAGCAGATTACGGAACTCGATCATTTTGTCTATGCTGGTTGGTCTGAACTGGGAGCCACAGTGAGGATTGAACTGAATGAGATTGATCGTGCATGGAATACCTTTAACTAGATCGATCAGCCTCCCTGCATCCTCAACACTGACAGACAACAACAAACAGATCCACTCAAGATGATTTCTTATGAGGAAGGAAATACTTCGATGGACCAATAAGTGCTTTCGCAAGCCGTGAGAAAAGGTCCATCATCATCTAACCTGTCGTTTACCCCAGCAAGCATTACATACTCAAACAGCACTTTGTACTTGTGCTTGCACTGAAGCTCCTGTCGCAGGGTGTCGAGAAGCAAACTAATATTGTACTTGCGGTTGATTGGCATGATCCAGTTTCTTACCTGCAAAAGATTTGGTAGTTGGGGAAGAGGGGAAATCATTATCAATAAGCAAGATGTGTTTGTTCAGGAAATCAAGATAGATAGGTGTCTCTTGCCTGGTTACTGGCACTTGCTCACCTCATCAGTAGTTGCGTTTAGACTGACAGCCAAAGAGCAGTTGGATTCATGGAGAAACCGTTTGAGCTGGGGAACAAGCCCGCTTGTAGAAACAGTGACCTTCCGAGGGCTAAACTGAAGTCCTTGCTCATCCACCATTATGTCAGCTGCTTTGATTACATTTTCAATGTTCTGAAGAGGTTCTCCCATTCCCTGCCAATCATTGACAAGTATCAGCCGTTTAAATTTTGTTTCTTTACAGCAACCACTTCAGTACATTTAAATCTGGAGTTCTGTTGAGAGTTGAGACTACACCTACCATGAAGACAACGTTAGTGATGGAACCAACTTCACTTGTGAGTAGACGCCTTGCAAATACAGCTTGCTCTACTATCTCAGCTGTAGTCAGATGTCTCGTCAAACCCATCCTGCAATATTGTTCGAGGAAATGCAGCAAAGCAATCAAGAAACATAAAGATGATAGATGGACTTGGATTTCAAATGGGATATGAAGAAAAGGCTTGCCTGCCAGTGTAGCAGAACTGACAATTCATAGCGCAGCCCACCTGACTCGAAACACAAACCGTCGTCCTACCTCTATCACATGGTATCACAACTGTTTCTATAACTAGTCCATCATTTAACCTGAACAAAACCTGCATTTCTGTGAGTTTCAAAATCAATGAGAAGATTCTTGTAGCTTATGCAAGGTTGGAGTCGAATCACAGATAGGTACCAGGTTTGAACAAAATAAGGAAGAGACATGGGGCAAGCATTCTATCACAATGGAGGGCAGGAATCAGAAGTGCAGACGGTTAAAAGGATTACCTTTCTGGTTCCATCAGACGCAGTTACAACGTTTTGCAAGGTCAAGGCATTCAACTGAGCTTGCTCACTTATCAACTTCTTGAAGTCCTTGTTCAAGCCTACATACCATCATAAAAAAAAAAAAAAATCAACAGTCATTCCTCCTTTCAGCAAGCAAGAAAAATTAAAGCCAAAAACTCAAAGAGAAGCCCGGTAAGCAGGCACCTTCCAATTCGTCAACACAGTGTGCCCAGATGTTGTTCAAGCCATACAACCGCTTCCACAGCATCATAGCCTGACCAGGTCTGAATCCATGGGACTGAACCCACTTCTGCCATTAGCATACAAACCAACATCGAATCATTCAGATTGTTGGAACCGAAGCTTTCAGCAGTAAATTGTTCAAAGCACAATCCTAACCAAACAGACTGAAAAAAAAAACATACTTCGAGTTCGGAATATCTCATTTCCTTGAGGAGCACCTTCGAGCCATCGCCCCGAAATTTAGCTCCGGCGTCACCAGGTCCCGCTACAAAGAGCAACCAAACATAGTAGATATACAGACCAAGTAAAAGGGCGAGGAACTGCGTGACAGGGAATTGAGTGCTTACCGTCCCCGGCTGAACTTTTTGGAGACACTGAAACTGAAGAATGCGGCGAGGAGAAGGCCGTGTTTGAAAAGAAGCGGCGGCTGGGAGTGAAATTGAGGGTGAGATTATGTGGTTGTCCCGGCGGCAAGGTTACCTGAGGGTTATGAAGAGCAAGGGTAGCAGTCGCAGAGGAGGAGGAGAGTAACGGAGGCTGTTTGAACACCAGGTTAGAGTTGGGTCCGGCGAATCGCATTCGCCTTATCCAGACACAGCCCATCTCCATTGCCTAAGCTTGCTGTTCGAGCAAAACCACCCGCGCAAAAGTATGAAGGGATGGTATCATGGTAGCCTGGTAGGCAAAGATACAATCTGGTCATTGGTCATGTAACCTAATTATGTTTTCTTTAAGAACCCTAGTTATGGTTTATTTTTAACATGTTGTTTAGTTTTGGTGATAGTTAAATCGAAGTATTGTTATCATTTCACAATATTTGTTCTTCGTAATGTCAATGTAGAATTGGCTCGAACTAGTTGTTGTATACTCATTTTTATTGTCAAACAAGATTATTCGACCAAATTGCTTCAGGTGATGCATTAGAACTAATTGTCTTGTTGAATTCCATCATACAAATGACCCCTCATTAGTTTTTCTGTTTTATTTTGAAAATATGTCATAATATTGATACATCATTCAATATTGCATCAAAATTATATCATATAATGTAATATCAAAATTATATCATATAATATAATGCTCCTCAAAATTTCATGACGTTGATGCATCATTTCACAATATTTGTTCTTCGTATCAATTTCAAACTGGCTCAGGATGGTTGTTTCACCAAATTGCTTCACATGAGACCGTTAAAAAAAAACTATCTTCTTGAACTCCATCATGCAAACAATTTCTCATTGTTTTTTTAGCATGTAATTCTACAATTCAAAGTGACCATGATATCTATTGGTTTTTAGCATGTAATTCTACAATTCAAAGTGACCATGATATCTATCTCCAATGCCCAAAGTATTTGAAATTTATATGAGTGCTTCTAGAAAAGCAATGCAATGCACTTTAATCTTCCAACATATGTATGTACCACCTACTAAACGACCCCCAAAGAATTTGTATCGAAACGTACCAATTCTATTGAACTCACTTAACGATGACAAGTTTACTGCTAATAGCGTATCGGCAAACTCATTGAACAAGATCTATCTATCGAATGCTATGTTAATTTGCAATGATTTCCCTGCAATTATTTGGAGACAATCGTCGTCCGAGAGATACATTGACTATTTGGACATGGGAGGAAGAGGAAGATACTGGCAAAAGGTTGGAGAATTGGAGGTTACAGAAGTGACATTGCGTAAGTTAAGGCCCTGTTTAGTATTATTTTGTTGCTGTTGTGATTGTGTTGAAATTGTGACAACAGAAACACAACAACAACAGAAGAAAAACATAAAACAACAAACGTGTTTAGTTTGTAACTTCTAGAATGATTAACAACAAACACAACGCGTTTAGTTCCTCATATCTAGCATTGGCAACTCTCGGGTTAGAATCTAGATCAATTCTCTGTTCATCTAAAAAAAATGGATCAGGAGGGGCATCCCTTTCGATTTATCTCCTCTCCTCCCTTCCTCTCCTCTCCGCCACCGTCAACGAACTGTAGAAGAAGAAAAACAAGAAAAAGCTTCCTTTAGCGGCGGTAATTCCGAGTCCAATCGGAGACGACCCACTCCGTGGCCCCTCTCCTGTGGATGGGAAAGATCTGGAGGCGAATCACTCCTTGCCGCCTCTCCTGTCGGGATGGAGAAGAAGCCGGCCAAACCCGGAGAAGTCGTCGCTTCTGTCACCGTCTGCCATGTCTCTGCACCGCCGGGAAGAAGTCTGGATCTTCGCTGGGATAGGGATTTGAGAGAAAATCCCAGGGATTGCGAGAAGGGAGAGGAAGAAAGCCTAGGTTTTCGCTGGGATTGGGTCGCCGTTGAGATTTCGCACAAAGGAAGAGGAAGAAAGAACTTTGTGCGATGGTAAAGAAAGAAGGAAGAAGAAAGGATTAAGGAATAAAAAAATAAAAAAAATTGGCAATTAATGAAATCCCACCAAAAACCCGTGTGCAACGCTGGGGTGAAACGGATCCAAAGCAACAATTTAACGTTTTGTTGATTTGGGCCTTGTTGTCCAAATTTGTTGGGCAACAGAAAAAAGAAACCCAACTAAACACGTTTTATTTTCTTGGTTTCCACAATTTTTAAAAACACAACAGAAAACAAAAACAAGCAACAATACTAAACAGGGCCTAAGTTTTCGCTTTGGCTTTGATGACGGTTGTTATTGTGAAGTTAAAGGCTCGGAGTTGACATTATTTCATGTGGTTGCTCAGCATTCAAAAAAGCCGGAAATCGTATACCTATGTGGTCATCTCCCTGAAGATCGTCGCTGGCGTTCTTATTATGCCTTCTTCTCCTGCAATTTGAGAAGCGAGGAATTGGACTTCTTTGGTTATACAGGAAGTTTTGAACAAGACCAGACGCACCTCCAGCCTAGCATTACTCTTTGGCCTACCTTCATTCCAAGCTATGCAAAACTGCGAGGTTTCTATGATGGAATGGAAGGTTCAAAGTGTTGGCGACAACCAAACAACTAATTAATTGACCTCTTTCATATTTCAAGCTCATAGTAGAAAAGATAAATACAATTTAATATCCAAATCTTTCATTTTAAACAATATAATAGCCAAACCTTTTCGAAAACAATCTAATATCCAAATCGTCACTTCAAAAAAGTTCGAAGTACGACACTTCATCAATATCCATCGATATCTTCTCTGAAAAACCACCATCATATCGTAGTTCCAAACCCGAGAAGTCCATGACTCCACCATGATGGTATAGGATATCTAAATATTCAGTCATCTGCAATGCCAAAACAAGAAAACAAAGTTGTATTGTGATAATTTCTCCTAAACAAAGCTTTTTTGAAGTGTCAACTAACGGTCAAACGAACGGAAAGTTGACGATTTGGATATTAGATTGTTTTCAAAAAAGATTTGGCTATTATATTATTTAAAATGAAAAATTTGAATATTAAATTGTATTTAACCTAGCAGAAATCCCTAATGTAAAATCCCTACAAATTGATTTGGGGTTGAATATGAGTTTAGCTCTCTTTTTTATCTTTTGCTTTTGTATTTTGTATTTTAAATTATCTCTTAGATGATAGGATCTCCATAGTAGAAACAACTAATAAAAAAATAGACTAATGTATCACACTATTTCTTTTAGGGTCTCCATAGTGTAGATGTAAAGTGGCATCAAATCAGTAAAGTGGCATCAAATCCAAACTGATGGCAATTTGAAATCCCAGTTCTTTTGATTCACGCGTGACATAATATCATATTGATCGACCTTTGATTGCGATTGTCATAATCGATCTTGCGTCCAAATGTAAAATGAGAAATGTAATATATAAAAAAGCCGTCACAAACAGGAGTCAATTGGTAAAGCTTCCACCATGAGCATGACCAACAAGATTAGAATGAACCCAATCTTAACAAGCAATCTACTTTCTCTTATGCTTATTCTGTATATGCATATAATGACATGCTAATTAGACAATCGAGGACCGGGAAAAGGTTCAATAGCTACACAAACTGAACGCTAATGTTCACAGATAGAGGCTCATACCTTACTGGGAACATCATATTTTCAAGCCAAATGTCCACATTAACCAATAAGTGTTGAATGTATGCAAGTTGATGTCACTCTTACGATCGCACGCCCATCTAATAGCTGTGGTGTTCTCTATAACCTTCTTTTGTGCTTAGATCCATGCCTGAAAGGCTATCAACGAGTATGTCATGCCCACCTTTTCTCCATCAAAGGTTAATACTCGCTTAATGGCGGTGATTTCTCCACGAGCACAACAAACTAGACAGCTGCTGAACACATCGATAGTCAGTAAGAACGCCAGACCAGGTAAAATGACATGACCAATGACACCCATGGCAAGGTGATCCTCAGGAAATAGATGTTCAAGTTGCTATTTTTGACACTGCACTGCAATGTACAAGCTCAACAAAACAAGATTTAGAGGAAAAGATTCATCACATGCACGGGCACAACAACAACAGCAGACCAAGTATACCAAAAGAAAGCACCAGAAACTGACTCCATATTCCACGGCCAAAATCACAACATATGCAGGCGTTTCAGAGCAACTAAGAGGGCCCATTTTGTGACAAAATCGAGCCGATCCTGACTATTCTACCAAGATCAAGCACAAAAGGAACAAATGTTATAATAACTCATAAGATTGAGAATTCAGATTGTGCCAAGGAGTTGCAGTTCAGAAACCAATTGTACCAAAATTATTTCACCGACTCAATAATAATATGAGAGAAATTGGAATAGTTGATAGAATACTTTGAGCAGAAAGTCTTAACCAGCTCCAGCCCAAGAAAATTCGTTGAAGCCAGTCATCCAATCAACGATATCATATTCACTTCGGCTGCTAATTCTCAATGACAACAACAGATCACGACCAAGCACAACCACCTTCTAAGACCGCAGTAGAAGCATCAATAGAGAATTGTCAGACAAATATATTTAGTGGGGGATTGATGCTCTAAGCTTCCCAATCATTATCACCAACGAATCTACAATATGATACCAAAGGATGGGGTTTCTAAACAAGAACCAGCACCAAAGGCAACTCTTTTTCGACACTGTACCACCCTCACATTCAGATACGGTTAACGATATTGGAGGACAACAACTATAATAATAGCCATGCGGGGTCACTCACCTGTTTGTGGCCGATACTTATCTACAAGCAAATGTACACAAGTTAATATACCTCACGTTGAGATGCTAAGTCATCACAAGTTACACCATCAAACAGGAAAGAACACCCAGACAAGGATGAAGGCAAACATCCGGTGGGCAACTTTGTTAACTCCACTGTGAAGTGCGTACTAACCAATGATGTTGAGATCAAACCTTGCTTTTACCACTAACGCAGTTAGTGAAACTAATCACAGCTATGGTTGCCTAGTAGAGAAGAGTAGCATCAATTACTAAAACTGACAGACTCTAGCACCCTAACAAATTTAGCAATATTGGAACACAAGACTACCACCCAAGATCCAAGCCAAAAATCACCCCGAAAAGCCAACAAAACTGTGAACCAACTAAAGAATTGAGCAGGGACATATGAAGACTATAGCACCCTAACAACGAAGATGGAATTTAGCAATATTGGAACACAAGACTACCACCCAAGATCCAAGCCAAAAATTACCCCGAAAAGCCAACAGAGATGTGAACCAACTGAAGTATTGAGCAGGGGCATATGAAGTCTCCTCTGCGGTAAGGTCA